CCAGATCAGAGACATCTCCTTCACATTCTGTATTCCTCACAGCTTTATTTCTTTTCCTTTCCAAACCCAACAGTATTATTCCATGACTATATGGCAAATGGTACCCCTTACTCATGAGCAGCAATTCATGCATGCAGCAGTTTTACACAGTAACTTGTAAATTATAAACTAGAGGGAAGAACTTCTTTCTAGGTAATGCAGTGTGTACGTTTCAGAAGGCAGCCTATTTCTGCACTAGAGTTTATAACTAAACTAGGAAACATTAAACTTTTAAACATGCTTGCCATGGAATATATGAGATATCATTTAATATTACAGCTTCCTTCAAGTTCTATGTAGCAGTTTCTGGTTGAAAGCTGGATCGGTAATGTGGTGTGTAGGTACATCTGCAGTGCAGCTGATTATACCAGCTCTGGAACACACATCACGTGTAAGCAGAAGAGTCTTTAAAAATCTCAGTCCCAAACTAATGGAGTGCTCTGTTACACAAAGCAGCTCTAGTTAGAAAGCACTGACTTCTCTGCTGTTTCTAACAGCTCCATCAGAAAGGCTTGTTAGATAGCTAATATATTCCTTTTTCTCCCCCACCTCACGAGTTTCTGATTGTAGTAATTCCAAAGTAACTCCCCAATGCTTACCCACAGCATGACTACTGCTGAAGCCTAAGGTTGATAATTTAAAGTGGTCTTGTCTTTGTCAGTGCTATACTGCTTGCTGTTTGGCAGTGACTTGGGCTGCTCTCTCTACACCTGATACAGTTCACAACTTGCACACTAGGAGCTCACAGGATGGCACCACACCATATGCTGATTTCTGCCAGAGATTTGGTTGTCCAGAAGGTTTCTTTTTGTGCTCTGAAGTCTAAAAAGGTCGTTACTTCCATCAGAAGTTCTTATCCAAGGACAGTATCACTGAATATACTGAGGTAATACCTACGTTAGGTAGATAGGTTGCTTCTTGGAATGGTGGTGAGGTTCTTTCTTTGCCCACAGAAGTCTCCTGTAGGAAGTCCATAACTATATTTAGACCGAGCTGGGCTGACTTCAGATGTATATGTTTTGCATTAAGAATTACTTTTGTGACTCCAAGGGGAGCATTTGGAGTGCTCTTATGCTTTAATGTGAGACTCCAATTGGTCACCCAGGAAGTAACAAACATGTGAGTGGTTGTTGATTTGCCTACAGCTGAGAGAATCTGTTCCCCTTTTCCACCTGCCAAGTTCCACACATCTACATTATGTTCTGCCCTCTTAGGAACCCCAGTGAGTAGAAAGAAACCTGTTTTCTTACACTGGTGGTGCATTGGCATTTCATTTGTGGTTTATCACATGCTAGAACAAGTCATACAGAGGTTATGAGCTTTGGTGATACCTAAATATGTTCCGATGTTTCAAATAGTAAGAGTAGATGATTCACAATTTCTTCTGATAAACCCATGAAAAGCAGAATGTAAGAATAAAGCAGTTATGCATTTCCAACATGTACTACTGAATCTACAAGGCAATGTGTTGGTTATCCAACCTACCATTTCTCCTTGAGTTATTTATCATACTTATCTTTGTTTCTTGTGATACTTCAGTATCAAACACCAGTCATATGTAATCATATGCTTTTGTGTTTAACAAAGGAGGATGCACACAGTGCCTTATCTATTGCCCATCTCAATTGGATGCTGCTCTAGGAGGAATGTGATGGAGAAGTTCTAAAGCACTTTTTGGTATTCAAGTCTATGAAAATGTTTCTTGACTCATTCCTGAATTTTACTGGGAAATGGTTATGAAATTTCTTTCTAGAAAAAAGCAGCTTGTATTTGTGAATATATTGCTGCAGAGAGAAGGAAGCAGAAGTAAATTTGATTCATCCTTTCTCATCCTCAAAGTAACAAAACCACACAAAAATGGCAATGAATTAGATATATTTTTTAATCCTATCCTTTTATGTTCCCTGAGAATACTAAAATAACATTGGTAAATTTTTAATGTTTGGAAAATATTAATGCATTATTTTAACCTGACAGGTTCTGGCTTGTATGAAGAAATGTCAAACCAAACTTTCTGCTGAGGCATTAGCAAGTTGTAAATGTGCCTTTGACATGAAAAGGAATTGTAGGTATTTTAATTAAAGTTTCCAAAGCATAGTTTCCCCTAAATGTTCACAGTCCTGTGTAGACAGTTAATCTTCCTCATATATTACTGTCTTCAGTTTGTACTAATAGTGCAAATCATGCCTATGACCTGAATAAAAACTTAATTTATTATGACAAGGTGGATGTACTTTGTGAGGTAGCAGACCCAGCTGTGGTGCTGGTTCAGCATATGAACTCTGTCACTATCCAGTGATTTCCCATCCATCCTGTTTATGGCACAGGGCCATTTATTTCTCCCTGATAAGTACAGAACTCTCAGGATATTAGTTTTAGTGGAAGTTCAGGTTTTTAACACAGGATAAATAATATGGCAATCACATGTTTTACCTCTTTATTCTGTTTGTCACTTCATTCAGAAGGCAGTAAGATGGAAATGTCCTGTTAGTGCAATGCTATGTGTGTTATGTGTTATGGGTAAAGAAACCAGCTTTCCTCAGCTCAGTTTTATGGTCGCCCAGAAAAGGTCAGAGATGATGAGTTGCTCAAGAACCACATGCAGCTCTGTGGCAAAAAAACGAGACTCCTTTGGCAAGGTCCTGCTCATTAGGAGCAGTCAGCATGGTTTCACTAAGAGGAAGTCATGTTTGACCAATGTGGTAGCCTCTTATGAGGACATAGCCAGGTGGATAGATGATGGTAGGGCAGTGGATGTGGTCTGTTTTGATTACAGTAAAGTATTTGACACTGTCTCCCATAGCATCCTTGCAGTTAAACTGATTAAGTGTGTTCTAGATGATCGGGTAGTGAGATGGATTGTGAACTGGCTGAAGGAAAGAAGTCAGAGAGTTGTGATCAATGGGACAGAGTGCAGTTGGAGGCCTGTATCTGTATCACTGGCTTTTCTCATGAGCCCAGGTCTGTGGCCAGCCCAGCACTGGTCAGCAGCACCCCATGGGGGAGCTGTTGTCATCTCCTGCCTGTGAACTCTTGCTGGAGCTGTTTCCTTTTGGTTTTCACAGAATCACAGAATGTAAGAAGTTGGAAGGGACCTCGAAAGATCATCCAGTCCAACCCCCCCCTGCCAGAGCAGGATCTCCTAGAGTAGGTCACACAGGAACACGTCCTTTCAGAAGCGCATTTTCTGAGATACGATGTGTGTCTTGTGGTTTGTAGAGTCAGGAGGGCTGGATACTCATGACTGCAATTACTTGGCTTAGGTATTAGTTTCTGAAGGATACGAGACAGTCTGTCTCTCTAAGATGTTTAGTTATAGTTAGGACCTGCCAGATAGCCAACGCTTGCCTCTCCGGCAGTTCTGATGATCTTGAATTAACGATTGACCAGATTAGAATACGTGTAACACGTTGGGTTTTTTTGTCTTAGCTGTACATTGATTTCTCCTTTCTGTGAGCTGAGCAAATGTCTGCTGAGGCCTAGGTTTCACTCTTACATGACCTTGAATAGAGCAAGTTTGAGTTTAAAGGGTGTTTGCCTCAGTTATGTAGAAGACCAGTGTATTAGCTGCTTACCACTTTGCTATTTAGTAAATAACTTTCCAGTTTTGAAAAGACCTTGTTTCTAGATATGACAGATGTGTTGCAGTTTACATAAGATACAAGCTTGGAGCAGGAGCATTTCTCTTGCATCAAAAGTTATGCTCACAGCAGTACCCGTATTGTATGCAGCTATCTTTAGAAACAGTCTTGCTGGATATATCTGTGCCCTCAGTGCAGTACTGAGAAGGTATTTCATTATTTAAAAGGTGAATGTTAAGATTCACTGCTGCTGCTCTATATATTACGCAAACTGCAGACACAACACATTTGTGCTGAATTAAAGAATAATAGAAGTGAGATAGACATGGTATTGCTCAGCTTATCCTGCTGACAATTTTGTAGTGTAAGTTGCCTCCTCAAAATGTCCCTTCCCCTCAATTTTTCTTAAGTGTTTCACTTCAACATTTTTTCTTCTTTTCTTTGTTTCCCATGAGAGACCCAAGAGCTTGAGAACTGTTTTATAACATCCCATCCCAGTTTATAAATAATGAAATTGCCCCAAGTTACGGATGCCCTGAGACAAGTATTCAAGCGTTTCTTTGCCTTAGGGTGCTAGCTCTGACAAGAGTTAGGTGGTGGTTTAGAGAATGAACTGACAACCTTAATCCTCATATTTAAAATTTATAAAGCAAGTTTATTTAGTGAAGTACTTTTGTTTTCTTAAAAACCTTTAAAAGCCTGCTTACTCTGATTTAAGCCACTTCCCTATTCTGCACTTTACTGACCTTATTTTCATCATGTTTATTTTTGTTTATACTGTAAATTGGTCTTTCTGCAGCAATTTGCCCTTCTAACAGGTTGTTTATTAACGGTGTTAGAGAATTGCTGTGCAAAGTGCATTGCAAAGGAGACCACCTCAGTATCTAAAATGGTGCAGTAAAGGTATTTCTCCGTGACAAGTTCAGAAGTGACCTGTGTCTGACTGTGTGGCTGTTCTGAAGTTTTGCATAACTCCTGTCTAATTCCTAAGCCCCACTGGTCTTTGCCTTGCAATTTAGGTGTCCAATCAGCAGAATTATTTATTAAGCAGTGACAGCCTGTGAATAACCATAGTCTAAAAGTAAAGAATGGCAAGCCCTACCTCTCAGTGCTCTGTTCATATGTGCAGGGATCATCTCCTGGCATAGAGGGGCAGTGCTTCCTAGGTATATGGCTTTGTGCTCCCATGCTTTTGTGGTGAAATGTGTAGCTTCTATAAAACCTCTGCACAAACAACAAATATTCTGACACCTTGGTGTCGGCACATTTTTCAATTCTAGAGTGGAGTAGCTTTAAGCTGGAGTGGTGAAAATAAGTGAAGCTGCAGTGGAAAGTGTATTTGTTAGGTTTTAATTGGACATTTTCTTGTTGCCTTTCTAGGTCTGATGTAGTTGTTCTGTGCTTTTCAATTGCTAACCCTAATTCTCTGAATCATGTGAAAACGATGTGGTATCAAGAAATCAAGCACTTCTGCCCTCGCACACCTGTCATTTTGGTGGGCTGCCAACTAGATCTCCGCTATGCAGATCTCGAGGCTGTTAACAGAGCCAGACGGCCTTTGGCAAGGTAAAGTCTAAACAAAAATAAGAATTTAAAAAATATCACCTTGATAACCAGGTACAGTACTTTCAAAAGAGAATTGATAGAGCCTGGTTTCTTTTTTTTCTTTTGTAAAATGGGAATGTATGTGCTTTCTTCTTGTTAATTCTGCTGTCTGAATTGGTTAGTTCTTTAACACACATACACAGTTATTATATATTTCCCACAATATTTTTGCACATTGGACATCTAAGCTTGTTTGGGTGTCTGAACACTATGATAATATAGAGATACTAATTGTTACTGGAGATTTTCACATCAGTCTCTCTCCATCTGAACATGTGTATCGTGTCTTACCCTGTCACTACTGTCAGATGTTGCTTTAAACTGGCAGATTCTATTTGTTCTATTAATTCTCAGTCCTTTTTTTTTTTTTTCAGATGTAATCCTAGATCATTGCAGAAAATAAAGTGGTTGCAAATTAAATTTTTTAAAGTTTTGAGATTAAAAGAGAGTTTGTGGTCATTGTGGAGAAGTTGTTTTTTTTCCCAGATTCAAAAGACAAGCATTCACATGTTTGGGTAAAACAGTCCTACAATTACCTGCTTGCTTCTAATTTCCTCAATATAAGTGAATTTGAGTGAGACCAGATTGATGGAAATAATATCTGTGATCTTGTAGTTAAAGACTGTGTTATAACAAATTCCCATAAACGAATTGAATTAATATTTCATGGGCTCTTAGAAAACTTTGCATTCAAATCCTTGAATTGGAAATATGATTTTCATAGGTTTGTCTGTTTATTCAGCATTTCTTCATTCTGTGGGTGGGATGGGCTTTTTTGTTGACTCTTTAAAAGGAAATGTTTTTATCAAAACTCAAAATTCTTCTTCTGTGCTCATCCTCCTTTCCGATGTCACCATTAATAAAGTTTGAATCAGTGTGCTGCATGTCTAGCACAGAATTCTGCCACCTGAACTGATTATTAGCTGGCAAACTAAAGCAAGCAGTTGTCTGGAGTGTGTTAAGTCTGCGCCAGCTTGTGTCTGCACAATATGGTATGCTCAGACAACGCACTGTTGGGTCATGTCTTCTCTTGAGATGACTTTTTTGTTGAGAAAATGGATCCTAGCCCAGACTTTCTTCTGATTTGTTTACCCTACGTCATGTATTAGAGCTGCTCTGGAAATCCATGAGTTCCTACATAATGCCTCTACAGCCAAAACAGGGCTATTTCTTGAAGTAAGTGTTCAGTTACACTTTTACCATAGGCTGCTATGATTTTTCTTTCAGAACCATAAGCTTAAGAAATACTTTCCATTTCCTATTTAGCTATATTTGTGGCATTTCTATGTTATGAGAATTTCCGTTGGAGTTTGCATTAGGTCATCACCAGCAGAGATAAAGAAGTCATTATCCCTCTCTAGTCAGCACTTTTCAGACCACACCTTGAGTACTGTGTCCAATTTTGGTCCCCGCTATACAAAAAAGATGTGGACAGGTTGGAAAGGGTCCAGAGAGGGGCCATGAGGATGATCAGAGGACTGGAAGACCTGCCATATGCAGAAAGGCTGAGAAAACTGGGCTTGTTCAGCCTTGGGAAGAGGAGGCTTAGGGGGGACCTTATCACCATGTACGAGTACATAAAGGGTGGCTACCAAGAAGATGGAGACTCCCTTTTCACAAGGAGCCACATGGAAAAGATGAGGGGTAATGGACACAAGTTGCTTCTGGAGAGATTCCAACTGAACTCCAGAAGAATTTTTTTACCATGAGATCAATCAGACACTGGAACAATCTCCAGGGGAAGTGGTGAATTCCCCCACATTGGTCAGTTCTATGAGTCAGCTCGACAGGGTGCTGAACCATCTCATTTAAACTATACTTTTACCCTGGGAGGTTGGACTGGATGATCCTTGTGGTCCCTTCCAACCTGGTATCCTATGATTCTATGACATAAAGAAAATACTAACAGACTATCTGAGTAGAAAGGGATGTTAGGAGGTTTTTTAAATAATAGACGTTCTCAAGCATTCCATCAATTTTTTTTTACTGTAAATTTCCCTTTAACAGAAAGGAGGCTTGCTCCATTTTGTGCAAATGACTTTACACATTTTTAGTAACACTGCATATTTTAGTAGCATTACCCAAACTTAAACAAAATTACATGTGTTATTCTGAAACTCTCTGGAATCATGGTTGGAGTTTTTCAAAGGGCTCTGTGGGCTTAATTTTATATTTTGTTTCATTTGAATATTTATCTGAGAATAGGTGCTGAGGCATTGTGTAAAATTCCATGCTTTCTGAAGTAACTTTGTGATGATCATTGTGTGAGAGAAAGTTTGTTTTGTTTAACCCTAGGCCGATAAAAAGAGGAGACATTTTGCCACCAGAAAGAGGCAGAGAAGTTGCCAAGGAACTTGGGATACCATACTATGAAACCAGTGTGTTTGACCAGTTTGGGATTAAAGATGTGTTTGACAATGCAATTAGAGCTGCCCTGATCTCCAGAAGACACCTGCAGTTCTGGAAATCTCATTTGAAGAAGGTCCAAAAACCTTTGCTTCAGGCTCCATTCCTACCTCCAAAAGCCCCTCCTCCAGTCATCAAAATTCCTGAGTGTCCCATACCGAGTGTGAACGAAGCTGGATATTTATTGGACAGCCCGCTGTGTGCAGATGTCATGTTTGTTCTCCAGGATCAGGACTACATTTTTGCTCACAAGATTTACCTAGCTACCTCCTCTTCAAAGTTTTATGACCTTTTTTTAATAGAATGTGAGGAAAGTCCAGACATAGATGAAACACAGTGTAATAAAGAAAATACAAATACGGATGTTCTGACGAGTCACCTTGAGACGAACGGTGACAGTGATGAGACAACCTTGAAATCTGCTGATGTTAAAACTCCCCCACCAGAAAGTACTGATTCTTTAAACACACTAGGACCTGAACCTGGTGAAACAAATTCTGCAGCAAGATCTCTGTCATCCTGGGGTAAGGGGTTTGTTAGTGTGCATAAGGAAATGCAAGTCAATCCTGTCTCGAATAGGACGTGTCCTGTAACTGTGGTAAAAATGGATTCATCTGTGCAGGCTGGACCTTTTAAAACTGTTTTGCAGTTTTTATATACAGGGCAACTGGATGAAAATGAAAAAGATCTCACAAGACTGGCTCAGATTGCTGAAATCTTGGAAGTATTTGATTTGCGAATGATGGTGGAGAATATTATGAATAAAGAAGCCTTCATGAATCAAGAGATTACTAAAGCATTTCATGTCAGAAAAGCTAATCGGATAAAAGAGTGCCTTTGCAAAGGGACATTTTCTGGTAAGTAAATACATGCTTTAACAGAAAAAGAAGTCATTCTTTTCTCATTCATGTTACTGTCGCTTCACAGACTTCAAAACCTGTGACAGCTTACATTGTTCTGAGACGAGGGATGAGCCCAAAATTATAGTGTTACTCAGGGCCAACTGTTCCAACCTGGGATTCTGCAGCTTAATTCCCCAAAATCCACACACAAGCTTTAAAATAAGTGACCAAATTTTCCAAAGTGATATCCCCCTTTTAAGTCAGGCTTTTTATTTAACTCCATGGAACGCTAGAGATGTCTTTGCAGTAGGGGTTGTGGGAAGTGAAAGAAGTCCTTGGTTAACAACGTGCAAGTGCAACATACATTCTTGAGACACAGTTTCACTTTAAATGGAGACTTGCAGCGTGCCTGTTTCTTTGTTCCCTTGGCAGATGTGACATTTAAATTGGATGACGGAACCATAAATGCCCACAAGCCACTGCTGATATGTAGCTGTGAATGGATGTCTGCTATGTTTGGAGGATCATTTATTGAAAGCTCAAATAGTGAGGTATTTGTCCATTTTGTCCATTTTGCTTATAATGTCTGATGAATTTAGGGTGATGGAAGCATCATTTTGTATTTTTTTGAAGGGTTGCAATAATCCCTGGTATGATTCTTTATCCTTTCCTTGCAGACCTGGGATGCTTCTCTTTCTAAGGCATTAAATTAGGATGCCTAGGAGGATAACCTCTTTTCTGCAAGGCCTGAGACTTCCTCCAATGCTGGAGTGTGTGTTTAAACCTGAAATCCTTGAAAATATTAAATATGGGGGAAAATGGAATATGGATTTATGCATTTCTTTAAAATTTTAAACTTCTATGAATATATATTAATATAATCAGAAGTGTTACAAAGAGTGCTTGGAGCAGGGACATTGAGGAAGGAATTGAAAGGGGGGAAAAAGGGTTAAAGGACATGGTGTTAAACTAGAAAAGGGGGCTGGTTTCACAGTACTTCAGTAGAAAGTAAGCTTAGATTTTCCAGTGCATCAGCTTGTCCTCTTGAGTAAAGCAAGTGTAAAGTACAGTATAAAAGATCTCGGTGCTTTGCATTAAAATTTTGCAGCAGAAGCCTTGTCTTTTCAAGCGCCTTTAAGGGCTGTTCTTCATATTCTAAACACTCTGCTAATATTTTTTTCTTGTGTCTTATCCATGAGCAAGTTTAGATTTTTAGTTTCTGTTTTGTTCCTTTCCATACTTACGGGTGTTGTTCATATAGAGTTCATGTTTTTTGTGTTTAATATTCTAGAAGATTGTGTTCTACTTAGATTTTTTTCTTGTTGCTTCTAATACAGCTGTAAACATAATTCCTTTCCCAGAGGCATGCTCGACAAGTGGTTCATTAAAAATACATAGTTTGAATCTAGTAAGCAACATTTGGCAATAAGGAATATAAATTTATTTTCTACCAGCCTATTTTTAATGATTAACTTAACAGTCTTAGCTCATCTTTCCTATTTAAAATATTTAGCTTCCATTTTGTAGAGTTTAAAGCATTAAGTAATGCTTTTGGAAGTTTTAAAATATAGGTAGATATGAATTGAATGGTTTCCATTAACTGGTTTACAAAACATAAAACCGTGTGCATTTTACTTATTACTTTTTCTCTACTTGAGACACAGTATTTTATAAACTCATTAACTGAATTTACTGTTCTCTGCACTAACAAAAATATATTAATAATGAATTTGTTTCACAACTAGCTCCTCTTACTTGGAGAACTGAGCTGCTTCCCAGGGTGGCTGATATGCGTAACAGGTTCATGCTTTAGCACTAATGGATCTGGGTTTGAATCCCACCCATCCAGGTAGAGCTGAAGGAAAAAATCACAAGCCCCCAAAGGTTAACAACCAGCTACGTGACAACAGTTAACCCCCATCTACCGGGAAGTATGTGCTGACTGGTTCCAATCAGTCAGATTAAGTTGTGTGTACATTTAATTCCTCATCGTAATTTTATTATTATCTGTTTGCTCTGCCATTTTTTTACTGCAAGTTCTTTAGAATATCACAGTGCATTCTTCAGTGCCAGCACCTCTTGAGTTATGAAGATGTACATTACAAACTGCTCCTTAATGGAACAGACTAGCCCGGGTATTAGAAGCAGGCTTACCTGCTGCAACCTTGAGTCATGCAAGAAGCAGTTTTACCCTGTTCTTTGGCAGAGTGATCATGTGTGCAAACTGTAGCTGAGATGCTACAGTGCTAGATTACAGTGAGGCTTTCTAGCTCTCTTTCCTCCTCTTTTAGGCTTCCCTGTAATAAAGTTGAGTTGGAGTTGTGCTGGTGAGAAATAGCTTTTGTCCTGGTCTTAGTATTTTCATTACACGGTGCTTACACTTAATTACATGTGTGTGGCAGAAATGGTTTACATTTTCTTTGCTTTGTTTCTTCAGTTCTCAGTCCCTTCCCAACCGTCATTTACTTGGATAACTTGGTTATTGGTAAACAGACTGAGAGGGTTAGTTTTTCGTTATCCTTTGGTTTCTGTTATTCTCAGAATCACTAGAATATCCCTTGCCAGGAACAGATAGATTGCATTCCTCAGGAAGTCTACCAAGGGGCGTTTGGTATGGGAAGTGCTCAGTGGCTTTATGTATCCCACAAAGCTGTACATTCACAGGCTAGAAAGCATTGAACAGATCCACTGTTTGATGTGGATCCAACTCCAGTAACTTGGGTAGGGTTGCTTGCATGTAAACTGTCAAAGGATCTGATTCTGGAGGTATGCTTACCTGTTGGCAACTTCTTGACCTTTAATAGGAAATCTATTTTTTGAAAAATGTTTTCCCTGCATTTCTAAAATTACTTAAAAAGAGAGAGTCCAGCAAATAGGCAGAAGTGAAATATGGCCCTTATATGAAAATTCCTTAATTATTAGAGACTCTTTTCTTAAATATCTTTTCCAGGTAGCTCTTCCCAACATAAACAAGACTTCCATGCAAGCAGTTTTAGATTACTTGTATACCAAACAACTGTCCTCCAGTCGGGAACTGGACACGCTTGAGTTAATCGCTTTGGCAAATAGGTTTTGCCTTCCTCACCTGGTTGCGCTAGCAGGTAAGAATTTGTGGCCTTGCCCAATGCAGTGTCTTCTGCAATGGCTGAAACACGTTGTAATGGTTTTGGAACCCATAGGATTTTCTCAAGTGTCAGTGAGAAAATAAATCTTTTTTTCTGAAAGGGATATTGTAATACAAATGGATATTTTCACTTAGAGAAAATGTATTTGCCTTTCTCTAGCCTTTTTTAGTTTTGTGCTAAACCAGCTCAGAACATTGAAGTATTCTGTACTTTGAAAACAGAAAGAGTAAACCTTCTCTTTAGCGTTGATGTAATTCCTGTGGTTTGTAGTATCTCTTCTGTGGTTGTTAATTTACCTGAAAACAGGATGGACTCCAGGCTTTCCATTAGGTAATAAATGAAGTGCTCCATTATACATTTCTATTTGAAGATATTAACTAAGCCAGTTCAGAACTGATCTAGATGATGATGTTTTTTTAGAAATGCTGTCTGAATCCCTTTTCACTACCTAGAATTGGGTGTTTTAGTATATACATGGGGATTAAATCCTTATTTCAGGAAGAAAAGCTTTTCTATCACACATATTTAGAGAAAAATTACAGGATGGGATACTACTTAGTTTTAAAATTAAATCCATACACCTCAGACCTCTGGGGTTGGGGTTTTTTGTCTGTTTACTTTTTTCTATGTATGTAACTTGGCGTTGTTCTGAAGACATGGCCAAGGCCAAAACTGGGAGACAGATGAAGCAGAGCTGCACATATTTACAAGACAACATTTAGGCAAAATTTTCACTACATACCAAATCCTAATTCTCCTTCAGTTGTGCACTTCAGCACTATCTATCTTGTCTTCACTGGTTCTGACAGACCAAATCACTGTTGCCTGATTTTATGCACACATTTTAACTGAAATCTTCTTCTTTTTTTAAGTAGTTACAGCATAAACTTACATATAATATTAAGAATATTTCGTTCCATTTAATTCTTGATGAAATGTTTTTGAGTCCAAAGGCTACTGCCAACAACTGAACCCAGTAGAATCCAATCAGCTGAGGACATTTCCCAAAAAACACTCAGACCTCCAAGATTCTAGGAAACGGTTCTAGGAAAGGGTTAAGGAGACTCTTGAACCGAAGTGACTTTTGCAGGAGCTCTTCAGCCTTCGTCTGGATCCCTAAGAACGACTAATTTGAGAATGTGAACAGGGCCTAAAGTGAACTTTTCTATATCAGTGCCGTGGATATACCCACTAATAAATCCACAGTGCAATGGTAAGTGCACTGTTGCAAAAAACTTGGCTATTGCTTTTGTATTACCCAAAAGAGACAGCTGATCCATATTTCTGATTTATATTGAATATTGCACCCATCCATTCTGCCAGAAAGAGACTAGTGGCTGCTGAACTTTGTCCTTCTGTAAGTGGTTATTAATTGCAGGCTCTCTTTCTATAAGAAAGAGGTAAGACTTGTGTGTGAAACCAGAAAGAAATAGTCTGGTTTGAGACAAAAGGGCAAATCCTCATATGGTCTGTGCTTCACTGGAGCAAGACAGTTTATACCGTGATGCAGAATCTCCAGCCACAACTCTTAGAGGCCAGAATTTGACTTCACAGATCAGAAGTTGCTCAGGATATCTGGGTGAAAGTGTCACTTGCATAATGGTAGAGTTAACACTAGGAGGAGGGAGAACGTGCCTTCTTGTTCTTATTTGTGGATGACCTGACCTTCAAATGTGACCGTTTCCCATCTGAGTGATGAGTTTTCTCCTCTAACAGAACAGCATGCAGTACAAGAACTGACAAAAGCCTCCATGAGCGGCGTTGCAATAGATGGAGAAGTACTATCCTATTTGGAAGTGGCACAGGTCAGTGTGCACTGTATTTTAAAGATACTCTGGCCAACTGCTGGACTTGCTTTTAACACCTTATTGGTTTTGAACAATGCTTCCAAGTGGCTCAAAGTCTGCAGTTCTGAGGGTGCTGACAATAAAACTTAATCTTCTATTTTAAAGAAGGTTTTTCCTTAGTTCAAAGGTGAAACACGTATTTAAGAAATCTTGGAGGAGTTGTCTTTCAAATGTGTATTTTAGCTTTTCTTGATTGTGGAGCTTCCAAGCTCCGCATTCGCATGGCCACGCTTCAGTAACATGAAATGGAATATAATGAAGCTGTTCTGCTTTGTAATGGGGAATGATTCTTGAATTCCTTTCAGTTCAGTTCTTGTAGATAACTTTAGACCTGTATTGCAAAGGAAATGTTTTTTGTATTCTTAGACTTGACGCTTAGACTGGCTACTCAGAGCCAGTCATCTCATAGTTCAGAGTGCAAAGCCTATTACTTTATCTTCAAACATGATTCTGTGTTTCTTGAGTCTCAGAAACCATTACAAGAGAGAACTCCCAACTCACAGTTGAAGTACACACATCGGTGTTCTAAAAGGAGTACTTTGGCAGTCTCTCAGATACAGTAATACAAGCTAAAGTGATTGGTTTAGATTTTTTTTTATTCTTGATTTCACACCAATGGTGAGCCTGGCTGCAACTTGGCTTGAAGTTTGGGGTTTAAGTAGCACTAAAATACAGCAAGAGCTGGCTACCAAGCAAAACCTATTGCAGCTGCTTTCAAGTGCCTTTGTTGCCTATAATGCTGTTGCAAAACCAGGACTGAACCCCTTCCAAGAAAAGGCAGCTTGCTTCACTTAATTTTGATTTTATCAAGGGTGTTTTTGTTTTGATTTTTTTTTTTTAAATCCTGGTTGAAGACAGAAGTCATATGTTTAACTACTGTTAGGATATCCTCTGTGCCCAGTACCTATGTGAATATGATGTATTTATAATCTGAGAAGATCACAGTAGACAGAACACCAAAAGAGATACTCATGCTATACGATCTGACTTGCATTATAGCTGTGCTTCCTTACAACCATAGGAAGCTTGTACAAGATTCTGTATTGAGCTTTCAGTAATATTTGATTTCTGTCAATGAGCATAGTTTTCCAGGGAGTTACTTCAGAGCAGGGTTTGCAGTAACCAAGACGGATATACGACTGATACAACCATACCGGAAAATTCAGGTCTACAACGCCAGGCGTTCAGATCTTGTGTGGGGCCGAATGCAGTTTGCCAGATGATATGCAGGATAGGCACCTATTTGTGAGCTTTTTGGGCCACTGGTTGTTCCAGCAGAGTTGTGCGACAAGGTCTAGGGCATCTAGCGGCTCATGAAGGCATCTAGAGGCCACTTCAGCCTCAACAGCTCTCCTCTGTGCTTGGGAAAGTGCTGCTAGATACAACCTGTTGGAGGCAGTTCTAGCTTTAGTTGTTAAGTGGGGCTGGAAAATTAATAATAACCTCAGGAAATGGAATAAGTTCTTTGTTTTTCTTTACAGTTTCACAATGCTAACCAGCTGGCAGCTTGGTGCTTGCACTACATCTGCACCAATTACAACAGTGTTTGCTCCAAATTCCGCAAGGAAATCAAAGCTAAATCTTCAGGTATGGGCAACTTTTCTCCACAGTTTTCATGAGGTTTCCCCTTCTTTCTCCCCCCACAGCTGCTTAAAAAGAAAATAAAAGATGGGTTCAGATAATTAAGCAGTGAGACTGAGCCTCTGCACTATCTTGAGTAGCATTCATAACGTTCTTCTTATGTGTAAAGAAAGGTCATAATCATTAGCCTGATTCCTGGCCAAGCATTATGTTCCATACCTATTTCAGTGATGCTAAAACAAATAGAGGTATTTTCAGGCTCCACAATGCCAAATACACTCTGTAAATGGCTTGCTTTTTTACAGCCTTTGATGGACTAAGGCCCCTTGAGTGCAATTGCTTTCAAAGCCTCTTCACCCTGTAAGTAAGGCGTATGAGGAAAGTTGGGGAATCGCTGATAAGCCAGCTGACATAGAGACTGGATAAACTTATCAGTAGCATAGCTTTATGCAGAGATTTCTGGGATTTGTGTATCATATTGTCTTATTTGAGGGCTTTTTCATTGTTTCTTTTTAATCAGATAATCAAGAATATTTTGAGAGGCATCGCTGGCCACCCGTGTGGTATTTAAAGGAAGAAGATCACTACCAGCGAGTTAAAAAAGAAAGAGAAAAGGAAGATGTTGCACTGAATAAACACCATTCAAAGCGGAAGTGGTGCTTCTGGAATTCCTCTGCTGTAGTTGCCTGAACAAAGCCAATAAGTGGAAATCCATAGCCAGTGTCAGAAGTTAGTCTTATTGTTAGAAATAAGATGTAGTTCAGGTTTTCAGGAAACTTTGTTCCATGTGTGCATTTATTATTGCTAGGGTCAAAAGCACAAGCTCATTGAAAGTGAGCCTGGAACAGCTCCTCAAAGTCATATGTATATTTTTGGCTAGTAAGCAGGTAAATGTCTACCATTATTACATTTCTTTTTATATAAAAAAAAATAATCCAGCATTAATGTTTCAATCTCCAATTGGGAACTATTTTTATACTGTCTGTTGTATTTTGTTCAGATAAAATTCTGGATACTGTTTTATTTTACAGACCACAAAATAGCCATGTAGCAGCTTTATAATTAGATTTTAACTATTTTTACTATGCGAGTACCGTGAAATAGACAATCTTCAGTCATCAGAGACCGCTTCTAGAGTATCTCATAAGAAGTCATCTTAGGAAATTACCCAGTTGCCTAGTATAGGTTGTCTTTATTTTTTTAAGTACTGTGCACTGGTAATATAATCAGATGGTTATTTCTTCTTTCTAAAGTAAAGGGTTAGAATAAGATCCAGTAACTGCAAGATATAGAGTGCTTGATCTTTGCTCAGCTGAATAGCAGGCAGTATAATTACCTGTTCAACTGCAGGCAAATATACTTCTAATATTTGCCATGTAAGTGCAAATAATTATGACTATGTGGGCCATGTGAAATCTAGTGATTCTAAGTATTCAGAGGTTTTATATGTCTAGATCAAAGAGGACATTTCTAAAATCATTTAGAAGGGCTTATTAATTTATATCCTTATACAAGTATGGATCTGAATGCAAAAAACAGTTACACTGCTTGCATTTGAATTACTGCATGGCAGTTACCTTGTTCTGTGGGATCTTAACCATGCAGCCATTCCTCATGTTGAATTCATTTTTGCTTCAGTGGAAGCAAATTGAAAGGACTGCAAAATCAGGTCGGAGTTATCTAGTGTTACACTATTTTGTAAATGCAGAAGGGTCTTCACACACAAGATCACTTCAGTTTGATCCAAATTCCTTTATAGTTTTTCCCAAGTAGAAGCCAAAATGTTAGGTTATTTTTAAGTAGATATATTTTCCCTGGAAGTAGGTATTCCTAGAAAGCTAGGAGCAAGACAATGGCAGAAAGGCAGGAATTCTGCACAAGTGGTGCAAGAAAAGAAAAAGCCTCCAGTGTTTTCAAATAGCCTGTGTGCTTACGACTTTTTATCAACCATTACTCTAAAGCTGCAGTGTTACACTAGATTACATAAGGCTGAGAGCGTTTTTTAAAAGACCAAAACTAAAATACATAGACTGTAGAACATACACATGCAATTCTGTACAGTGTCTCAGGCACAATTCTATAACCAAGTTAGTACTGTGTATTAGGTTTATTAATATTGTTTTGTGCTGGCAGCTCAGCATACCAATGTGAAAAGCTGTTTGTGTTTTTTCTGTATTCAAAGGCAAGGCAGTACAGTCAAATCCCAGTACTGTAGGTCAGGAAAGGCTTTGGATGGAAAGCCATATACACTACATGTTTGTGTTTTGAATGGACTAATTCTTGGCAGATGCTACCACAGGATGGTAGAAGCCACCCAGCATGGAAAGAGATGCTGCTCTACAAACTTTTATAAGAAAAACAAGTGACAGATTCCTACCCCTATAAGATTCATCACTATACAGTGATAAAGAAGGGCTACAAATGATGGTTGCAAATATGTCTCCTAAATCTTGGTCAATGATATTGTATATTGTGGAGGAAAAGAATGAATGAGAGAAGATGTATCAAGACTAAGATGAGATAAATACCTGTTGTCATAAAATGTTAACCAGTCACATTTTAAGTAAGTATTACTACTAGGTTTTACACAACCAAAGCTACTGTATGATTGTAATCTTGCCAAACTGTAATGGATATATAAATGAACCTGAGGTATATGCAATAATATCCAGTTGTGCTAGTTATCAGCTACTATAACCAAGTGGCTGGTTCATTTGGTTAATGCTGTCTATGGCCTTTAATCTTGGTGGTTATTTTGTGTTTTTTATTTTGCAAAAAAAAAAGTCAATAAAACTGTTTAGTTACAAATTGCCTCCCAGCTCTTTCAAGAAGCTTCCTAAATTTTGCATTAGGAGTTGCCCTTTTTAGTGCTGCTTGTAAGCATTCAGCTGTGGTATCATTCATTGAATTTCACTGAACTGATACTTCCATAGGATATTAGCTTTTGTGGTTGGGAATGTCACGAGGAATCCTACAGCATTTGTTTATAATGGTGGAAGGTTGGTGCTTCTCACTTACTGTTAAACCACGTAGCAAAAAACCCTCCTGCCACTTTTCCCCATGGTTTCTGATATTTAATTAGCATGATATTACCCAAGGGACATGAAACTAATTAGTCATGACAGACACAGGGAGGAAAAATGCAGGTAAACAGCAGGAAGTCCGTCAGGTTTTCAGTATGCTCTCAACTTCGTACAAACTGTTTTCCCTGCTTTCTCACTGCCTTAGTTGTCAACCATTATGCAGAATCCCTCGTTACCTGTTAGTAGGCTCTCAGCAACTACCTCCCTGAATGTCGGTTGTTGAAATGATAGAGGTAGCAAGTTGATGCTTTTCTAGAGGATTTTTACGAGATGTCATGCAAGGAATGCCATGTTTGTCATATTTTTAAAGCTCTTAAGCAGTACCAGGGACATTGAAAGTAAGCACATTCATTGCACAGCGAGCACATTTTTTAAAGTGCTAATTTATGAGAATGTTATATATCTCAATGATTTACTTTTGGAAGCAAAATTTTATTTCTTTGAACTTGCCATAAGAAAAGGTAATGGCCTCAGCAGAAAAAGTGGTGACATTAGATGTAAAGATGTTTTTCTTGATTATCATAAAACCATTAGCAGGGAAAGAAGGAACAAATCAGAAGCATGGCTCTCCAGGGCATTCTTTTTTAAATATTATGACCATTTAAAAGAAGTTGCCTGCCCTTTGTTTCTGGGGAATCTCATTCAGCTTTATTTCTTAGAAACAGTGCTTTTGTATTTGTTCTTTAAGACAGAATTTCTGCTAGCAAGTTCCTCTGCATTACAACACAAACCAGTTTCTGTGGCTTCCCATCCACAAATAGCACACCAAAGCCAGGAGTGGAAGTGTTCTGCGAGTAAGATGGGATTGGCCAGACTTCAGCCACAACTCACTAATTTCATTCACTGACAACATCTTTTAGTCAGATCAGGCCTCAGAATGTGCAAAGGTAAGCTAGATAGTACTAAATAAGAAGGGTTGCATAGTAGAAGAGACTAATCTGGACATCCCTTCTGAGCACTGAAAGCAGGATTGTACCAGGGGGGCTGGCAAAAACAGCACAGTTCTTTACTGCCCTAATTCTTTAGCAACTTACCCACATATATCTCTCAAGAATAACTTCTGCCTAGAAGTGTTTGATTTGTAAAATGAGGCATTTCTTTCCATGTTCCAGTAACAAGCATTGGGAGACCAGCTGAAGGCATCTTGGAAAGCCTTCTCTGAGGGCCAAGTCTTCCATCTTCTGTTCAAAGAGGTTTAGGTAAAGATCTAATGTACTAAATAGGATTAATTTTGGTACCTAAAATCCAGGTTGGTGAAATATTTCAGTTCTTTGTGACTTTTTAAGATTACAGTCTGGTGAAGAGATTTCCTTTGTCAGGTGAGACTACAGTTTTGTCCCTGTTCTGCCTCTTTTTTCTAGATCACAGTCTTTATACTCTTGTCATTGGATAGGCCAGCATTTATTTACTCTGGGTTGGAGTCCAAAGTATGTACTATGCAGTCAGGTGTCTTTAAGGTGGCTGCTTGCCACTGCTGAATCCTCTTAGATTTTTGGTCTATTAGATTTTCTAACAGCATTTGCATGAGCCTACTTCTCCTGCAGGCAGAATTCCCATTGAAATTGATGAGATGCCACATACACACACTTTGGGCTTTGAGGTGCCACCTAATGAATTTACACATTATCACTTGTCCGTGTTCCAAATCTGCTAACAGAAATTTGCTCTGTGTACTGCATGCAGGATAAGACTGTTAGCAGCAATAATCCCTATCCTACAGGCTCTACAATAGGATAATTCATTGTTAGTTAACTTATGCCTTTCCCTTTAGCTAAGAGAATATAACCTGTGTCACGGATTCACTTGGCACTGGCAGCCAGAGTAGTGAGACTATTGTATATTTATACATGCAAACTAAGTCCCTTACGGCTGATTACGTAAAAATCTTGATTTCTGGTAGAAATATGAAAAGCTTCTGGATCAAGGCTGCAGGAGGCTAAGAAGAAAATTAGAACATCAGAAGATGCAAGAATAATAATGCTAATGTATCCCAGCTCTAGAGAAAATCAAACCGAGAAGATAGATGTGATTCAAAGAGAGCAGTTAGCATGGGACAACGGAACTGTGGCTCCTTTATAATTGTTCAGCCTTACTATTTCATTTTAAGCAGGCCATAGAGCTACACCATCCCACTGGGCTGTTCAGCAGCAACAAATGTTCCCAGATGCAGGTCCTGCATCCCACCCCCACAGCATGGAGGGGGGGCAGGGCACAGAATCTTAGGAGTTGGAAGGGACCTCAAAAAATGATCCAGACCAACTCCCCTGCCAGAGCAGGATCACCCAGACCAGGTCACACAGGAAGGCATCCAGGCGGGTCTTGAATGTCTGAGAGAAGTAGACTCTACAACCTCTCTGGGCAGCCTGGGCCAGGGCTCTGTCACCCTCACAGGGTACAGTGAAAACATTGTTATATTGCTGATTCATCTGAAGTCCGTTCTCATACAGCACTGGTACCTCAGTCTGTCCTTTGGCCTGCCGAGGAGCCCAGTACCACCTGCTGGACATGGTGCATCTATTTTTGTCTCATGCTGAAGGATATTCTAGAACAGTAAGGACCTTACCCCAACATATGAAGTATCTCCACCTGATCTCCTTTGCTGGGACAGCACATAGTAGAAGAACAAAGCTCTGTGGCAGCCAGATATTGGCCTGTTTAGGGATTTCAAGATTAAAAGAAAATCTAAAATCAACAGCTTTCAAAAACGACTCAGAAAGTCAGAGACCAAGCTACAGAACACACGGACCAGATGCGTGACAGCCTGAACAGCAGTATTTCAGGTACTATGTAAAGATGCTAAATTGGGGAGGAGTAGATTCCCTATAGATAACAACTCTGCTTTTCAGCTTTAAAGAAAAGCACCCTTCACCATTAGATAAAATTATCATGCTGGGTGCTGTCCCACTGTATTGCACAGGCCCGAGCAGCCATGCTGGAGGACTGTCTCTTTTCGCCACTGCATTCTGGCTGCTCTGAAGTTTTAGATAAGCAGCCAGGTGATGATGCTTCACAAGGAGTATTTTCATAAGAAATTTTCTTGCCTTAACACTTTTTTTTAAAAAAAAGGATTCTTTATTCCCCCATAGGGATAAATATTTTTTTAAGTTATGGCTGTATAATAAGGATTACGTGGCATTCTGGGTATTAGTGCTGAGTAGTAAAATTATCCTCACAGGTTAAAAACAACCCTACAATTAGCAGCAGTTTAAAAGTATATTATTAAATTTGCACTTTAGTGATTAAATATAAGCTAGTCATTCTGACTGGATAATCAGATGTGATTGCCCCTGCCTCCCAGCTATTATAACCACTAGTTGTGCACTACATATTACAAAGAAATTTCTTCAGATTTCTCTCCTGTGTCCTCAAGTAGACTTCAGCCTGTTTGCAAAGTTTTGTGGATCCCTATGCTGGTTATATCACATCTACATTTTCAATTGTAGAGTGTCTGGGGTTAGTTAAATAATTAACAGACCTCATCATGTGATGAAAGTCTGTTAGATGGTGATGCCTTTTCCCACAAGCAGTATAAAGAAAGAGGGGGTTTTTTATGGAGCCTCCAGGGACTCCCCAGGGCCAGGGAAGCTCTGTGAATCCTCCCTGTTCCTGCACAGCAGAGTCTGTGGGAAAAGCTGCATTGGCTCACAGGGGATGCGATCAAGTGTCACTAGTCCTGCGGTCTGTTAGACATCCGACAGCACTCTGTAAAACAACCTCAATCAAGTGCAAGTACTCACACGCTTACTACTCA